AAACTTTAGTCTATTATGAAATTTTCCAACTTGGCTTAGGACATTAGGCCCCTCTTAGACCCATTCACTTATAATATGACTTATACGCTTATTAAACATGTTCACATAATTTGGATTTACACACTACTTATTATACTATTATCAATCGTGATATTCCTCACTACCTTGCACACATTAAATAAACCATAATAAAACTTTAGGGCAGACGAAAGCAGAAACTTTTTGCATCTTCACGAAATTTCTTTAAAATCATCTTTAGTCAAAATTTTTCGAAGGGCCATCCTTACCAGTGCTCTCCCCCCCTGTAGGGATTATTCCACCCAATCCTCTACGTTTACTCCGAAGCAAGTAGTAGTGTGAGTATGCCGACAACTCGAAACGCTTTTTAACACAAATATAATTTATCCTTCGCCCGCGTTTATTTTATTTCATCAACCTACAATCCAATTCTATAAGAACAAACTCTTTCCGACCAATCAAATTGAAGTGTGACATGGCCGCATTTGATTGGCCAGAATATGTCACTTGCACACGTGGCGTAATTTCATTGGCCTTTTAGTGTGACTTGGCATGCCTTGTCATTTTGACACGTGGCATGATCCTATTGGCTCTTCCGTTTGACTTGGCGTGCCACGTCATTTCACGCGTGGTACCAAATTGGGCCTCTAGGAAGATGATATCTTGGGCCTAATGAAGTGGGCTCATTACTTGTAGCCCAATTAAATGGGCTAGCCCAATGGATTAAGACTTATTTATTTAATCCATATATATTGGACTTATATAATTAATTCAATTATATTAGCCCATAATATTTACTTGGACTAGTATATCTTGAATTTAAAATATAATCCAAATTATTTTATGGATTTAATTTTAATAAAATTTATATGCCTACAGAACATTCAAAGGGAATTTTATGCTAAGACACTCTGACCCGCACAAAGGAGTAACAGATTCCGGAGCCATGGAAGGATAATAGAGTAACAGATTCCGGAGCCATGGAAGGATAATAGTTTTGTGTAAACCTATTTACAAGTGCTATAGGTCACGATCAAGAATGCCTCATAAAGGTCGATCAGCCTCAAAAGCGAAGAATCACGAAGAACACGAAACCTAAGCAGCACACTTATCAATAGAAGTGTCTTCATCCTCAGAATCTTATCCACCGCCAGATTCACTAGAGTTTTCGGAGTTTTCCTCAGGAAAGGCCAGCGTCGAAGCTTTGTTTCCTTTATCGCCTGCATCATGACGATGGTATCATGACAAGTCTGGGTAAAGATCAAGGATTCAATTCTTGTCATTACACTCCAAGAAACGCGGGGACTATCTGTATACCATCGAAATCAGGTATGCCCGATTTCCAGGGCTCGAGGGGTAGCTTAAGCCCGAGTTCAAGCAAGGTCAAGTTCGGGCTCGATGAAACAAACTGAGCTCGAAGACAGAGTGCAATGCCCGAGGATCTAAGTGCTAAAGGGACATCGGAGCCGAGCTCAGGCTCGAAGGTAGAATAAGAGGCTCGAAGACGTAAGTGCTCGAGGAACACCGGAATCGAGTACGACTAACTCCGAGACAGTGCCGTTATGAGTTTGTTACAGAAGGACAAGATTCCCGCCACGTCCCCAAAATCATGGCGCAAATCCCGGGATAGGATTGTGCGATTCCGTGCTAGTCGGTTAGACAGCTGTATCAAGAATATTCCCTACTGTAAATAGAAATATTCCTTATTTAGGGCTCCCCTATTATATAAAGGGGACCCCAATCATTTGTAACATCATCTAATCACTGAGAAAAGAATATACTCTCTACTTTTTGCCTATTGTTCATCAGCATTGTCCTTTAGCTCTTCTGCTTTTGCTCTACTTTTCTTACTTTATTGCTCTTAACCCGTCTCGAGGTCATTACTGTTAGGTAATATTGGTTTGATTCACTTATTTCTTTCATTTCTATTTTATATTTCTTGATTATCAATTGGTATTGAACTAAATCACATATCTTTAAAACCACAAGTTAAAATTAATCGTTACTCGTATTTTCGAGGTAATTTTGTAAATAGGTTTGTACAATCTTCCGCCGTATATGTCAAAAATAAATGAGAAAATCTATTTTCAGCATTTTTAGATATTGGAGATAGAGCTCTGCAACTATGCAAGTTAGTCAAACTCATCGACGCAGCAGCTGCATGCGTAGTTGGTAGAGTCGGTCAATGGACGTAGTAGATATGTGGTTGGTTGTAGACCATGTCTTTTGTGGTTTTGCTATTGCTACATCAACTGTTTCTTTCTGCAGCGTCCATTTACTTTAATCCATCTACTTGGGAGTTGGGGCCCACATGCAAAAAGACTCCTTGCTCATGAAAGAAGCAACTACTAATATCTATCTGTTTGTTGAAAGTTTGAAACACGGCAATACCTAAATTTGCGAAGCCAAGATTTTAAGCTCCACGTCATAGATTTTGGCTTTATTTTTTCGAGAAAACCTTAAATATATTATTTGTTTATAAAATATGATCATGTTTTGGAGAAGAAAAAAATAAAAAATTTACAAGTTTCCAAAAATTTATTTAGGGTAATTTTTGGATGAAAATTTTTCTTCCACTCAGAATACTTCAACTTTTCTTCCAAAAACAACTTCAACTTTAAAAAATTAATTTTCAAGCAATTACAAAAATATTTTTTTTAAAATTTCAATCAAATCAATATCCAAACGCTAGCTAAGTTTGTGTATTCGGGGTTAGAGGCGAATTTAGAATTTTCAAAGAATGGGTGCACCACTAAAAAAGCGGAAAAAAAAATACAAATAGGAATTGATCTATATTCCTTTGGCGTGCACTATTCAAACTTTTTGGAGATAATATTAGATCAATTTTATGAAATATAAACATAAATATTTATTTTGACGAAAACATTATTGGTACACGTTCACCGATAGAAAGCCTAAATCCGCCCATGTTCGGGATTATAATTATTTTTAATTATTGGATTTAAATAAATAATACCTAATAAAAATTTTAGAACAAAAACTACCTTCATTTCAAATTATGTGATTTTATTTAATTGAGCACGAATTAAGTTAAAGATGATAAATTAAAATTATAAATGTTTATAGTAATATTAGTTCAGTAACCTAAAGATCGAAGAGCGGTGAAATTACGCATTGCGCTGACTCAATCGACTCTTTGCTGCGCGTAAGAGGCGACAAAAGGTGACTATCGGATTTGGGATACAATTCCTTGTTGCGTCAATAATTATGTACATGGTTAATACATATTAAATTTTTGTGAACTTATTCTTAACTATTCTCAATCATAAATTTAAACTGTACGAGTGATCTAGCGATAATCAGAAAATGATCTCCTTAGATCAAATCCATATTTACAGTATTTTCTTTGTTAAATAATCCTTCGCACTCTGTTCAAAATTCGTTCTTTCAAATTTCTTTAAGAATGTAAAGGTACAAATAAAAACTAGAAAAATTTATTTCAGTTTATTTATTAAAATCATACGCATAATTTATACTATACTAACATGGGCGAAATCAGGAGAGCAGAAAGTGGTTCGACTACGTACCCCTTTGCTAAAAAATTACATTATATGCGTGTGTTTGTAAAATTACAGGAAAATTTAACCTTGTATATACATATATAGAGAGAGGGAGAATCCATTTTCCTTTGTGAAAAGCGTATCTTTGCCACGATAATACTATGTATATCTCATTTTCAGTCTAATAAATCAAACGTCAAGCATATTCACTAAATAACTTTATTATTATTTTAATTGTTGTATTATAAACAACATATTATAGTTCTAATATAATATCTTTACAAACCTAAACATTTACCTTACGTCCACTAAATAGTCTCGTTATTATTTAATCTTTCATATTCTAATGAGCACATTATAATTCTAGTATAATTTATTGACAAACGTAACAACAGGTTTAAGTCGGTAAAAATCAGACCCAGAGAAGTAGCGAAAGCATTCGATAACCGGTAACTCCACATTGTAACTTCATATTTCACATATTCCCGAATAATGTTTTTTAGGGAAAAAAAAAGTTTCTTTTTTTGTGTTTGATTCCCTTCACTTCTATTATTATCAATTTTTACTTCTCAAAAGTTTGGTCTGACCCAAGAACCGATTGGATCAAAGACAAGTTTTCTACTAAATCTATTTGTCTTTATATAAGTTCTTGACAGCATTAGGTCCTCCTAGCCAACTTTTTTTGTGATAGAAGGTGTCATTTTTAGTGCTCCCTTCCTTTTAATCACTTTATGTGAATGTATTTAATGTGTACCTGGAGTTTAAGAGAGAAAGATAGAGCTTTAGATTATGCCATAATGCTATAAAATTTGAGAAGTTTAAATTTAAGTTGTTTCTAAATGCATGCTAGCTAGTGTTATTTTGCTGGAACAAACGAAAAAGTATTTAAGAAAAGATGCCTTCTTTTGTCACTTTCGATCTAGATGTCTCTTTGTCTACAAAGACCTTTTCAAGTTGTCCATTCTCAGACCTTTACAAGTCCATACAAGAGTTTATTCGTCTACATTCTGAACTAGGGGTGGCAAAATGGTTAAAAAAAAACAATTAACCACCCATATTGTCCACTAAGATATGATTTGGATAATAAACTATTCAAAAACTGATCAAATATGGATAAGAACCATATTATCTATTTGGATAATATGGATAACCAATGGGTCTAACTTTTATATTTGTAAAACCTCAAATTGGGAATTCCTCAAGTTAGGGAGACTAAGAATTCTCCAAAAGTGATCATATGCAAGAAGTTATGGATAATACGGTTACCCATGTTATCCGCCGTATTAAATATGGGTCGACTCGGATAAATTATCCGTTTTTTCATCACCCGTTTTCAACCTGAACTATATCCGACCCGATCCGCCCATTTGTCACTCCTATTCTGGACCATTCGCACAACCTTTTAAACGTGCTACTGCTACAATAATAAAGATCCTCATCACGCTCCGTACACATCTGACGTGGAAAGAACTCATCACGCTCACAACCAATTAATTGGTCTTACAGATGAACATTATTCAAATACTTATTTTTAAAGATTACACCAATATCTTTTATTAATTCTGGAAACTCCTTATTTGCAGTGTTTCAGGTACAGCAGGACACTTGGTACAATTAATGGGAATTTACAAAGTAAAGATGCACCAGATAACCTTGGCAAGTTGTTCCAGTTGAGCCTCAACAGGAAACCTTTCCTGAATTATAACTAGAGGAAATTCAGGGTCGCTTTTTGCTGCCGACAATTCATGCTGGCTGGTGTAAGGTTAGTGAAATCTAAAGCCATCCCATTGTTCACTTCTCTCTTGTTCTTCGTCGTAGCTATCTATGGGGCCATAATATATATGCACATTAGTCATTTGGAGAAACATGGAAGATATCTTTGCAGACTCCACCTATTTTGTGCTAGTGGATAAGAAGATTTATCAAAAACTTACCTGCTTCTCCAGATGTTTGTTTTCTTCACTCAGCAGTTTTTCCTGTATAGAAATTTGTAAGGTGCTGTCAAGAATAGTGTAATGGCAACTTAACATAATATTAGTCTACTAGTGTTGTGAGTTTGCTCCCCCTAACTTATTTTAGTGTAGGAGCTGTATTACTTAAGATTATCTAAGCTTAAGCATTTGACATTAAGATGGCATGCAAGTTCCAGGCAGATACAGGAAACCAAGCCTAGCATATATCAAATATACCATGATGAGAGTCAATATTCAGGGAGTCGGAGACAGAGAGATGATATGGCTCTGATAGAGAAGGGTTCACTAGTTAGAAACACGATAGACCACACTCTTAATTTCAAGAAATGCTTTTCCCATACTAAACATATTTGGGCCAGGAGTAACCGGGACCTACCTTCTCGCGAAGACTTTGGATAGATTCAATCATCAAATGCGTCTGCATAAAACAAACTAGTCAAATCTCCTTCCAAGGATAAACAAATGTCAAAATTTACTAAAAAGAATATGCAAAAATTACGAAGTAGTCAAAATAAATGGAAGTACAAAGAATAGCTTGTGAAACCATAAAAAAATTTCAGGTCCCTGACTTTTGGACAAGAAAACAAATCAAGACAAACTTAAAAATCACAACCCGGTTAAAGATTACAAGAGGTATAAAGAATGAGAACACAACTGAAGTACACTAGCTACGGGGTGTAACGTCTAAAAAACGCGATGTACAGATCAACACCAGAGTTCTAAAAAATGTAAATTTATCTAGGAAAGTAAAAAAGTAGAGAGGAACTTGGTGTGACCTTGCTAGATCTGGCTTGCATTAGAGCAGTTTGCAGTTGGTTTTCCAAATGGACAAGGTCAGTCACACTGAGATCATCAACAGCAGGTTCCTCGAGTTGCCTTTCAAATTGAGACAGAAGATCAGTAGTATTCCTTTCAAGAAATGAAAGAGGAGCATGAGGTCAGTACCTTTCTACCGTTTGTAACAGTTCTCCCACTGTCATGAAGCTTGAATATTTAGAGTGCTATTTCCACCTCACAAGGACAGAAAACTTTCAGCAATCAGAACTTTAAATATTGATCACTACTCTAAACGAATTGATGATAAGTTACTCCATACAAGAATGAACCATAAAATACTGTCAGAGGTTGTCCTTATCAAAAGAAAAATGCTGTCAGGTTTTTTGGTTTNAAAACTTTGAAATTAGTTTTTAAAGTGTGGGGGTGTTTGGCAAAAGTGCAAGTTCCTAAACCCAAAAGGGTAAAAATAGGACCGAAAACCGTTGATTGTGTTTTCATAGGATATGCGACTAATAGTAAAGCATATCGATTTTTGGTTCATAAATCAGAAAATCCCGACATTCATAATAATACGGTTATAGAATCAGATAATGCTGAGTTCTTTGAAAATATATATCCGTATAAAAAGGAATGTGAGTCGATTGGTAAAGGATCTAAACGACCTCGGGAAGAAACAAAAGAAAGTACACTTAACCAGGAGGATCCAAGACGTAGTAAACGTCAAAGAACGTCTACTTCTTTTGGACCAGATTTTGTGACTTTCTTATTGGAAAATGAGCCTCAAACATTTAAAGAAGCTATGTCTTCTTCGGAATCATTGTTATGGAAAGAGGCAGTCAATAGTGAAATAGAATCCATACTGAACAACCATACATGGGAATTGGTTGATCTTCCTCCTGGAAATAAACCGTTGGGTTCTAAATGGATCTTTAAGAGGAAAATGAAAGATGATGGCACTATTGACAAGTATAAGGCAAGACTTGTGGTCAAAGGGTATAGACAACGAGAAGGTCTTGACTATTTTGATACATACTCTCCAGTTACAAGAATTACATCCATACGAATGTTAGTAGCGTTAGCTGCAGTTTATGGTCTTGAAATTCATCAAATGGATGTTAAGACGGCCTTCTTAAATGGAGAGTTGGAGGAAGAAATCTACATGGAACAACCTGAAGGGTTTGTGGTTCCAGGTAAAGAAAAGAAGGTCTGTAGACTTGTTAAGTCCCTTTACGGATTAAAACAAGCACCCAAACAATGGCATGCTAAATTTGACCAAACAATGTTGTCAAATAGATTTAAGATAAATGAATGTGATAAATGTGTGTACATTAAAAATGTTCCAAATCACATAGTCATTGTTTGCTTATATGTGGATGATATGCTCATAATGAGTAATGACATTGCCAACATAAATGCTACTAAGCGTATGCTAACTAGCAAGTTTGATATGAAAGACTTGGGAGTTGCTGATTTAATTCTGGGAATTAAGATTCATAAGACTTCTCAAGGTCTAGCATTGTCACAATCTCATTATATTAAGACAGTACTTGAAAAATTCAAGCATTTGGGCTTTAAAGTTGCAAAGACTCCAATTGATGTGAATCTTGCATTAGCAAAGAACAAAGGCCAGATATAGCTTAATGTACATCATGAATTGTACACGACCAGATATAGCTTGTGCTATAAGTAAATTGAGTCGATATACGAGCAATCCAGGCCAATCTCATTGGATGGCCATGAAACGAGTTTTGGGGTATTTAGTACATACCCAGGACTTTGCTTTGCACTACAATAAATATCCTGCGGTCATTGAGGGATACTGTGATGCAATTGGATCACCGGATCAACTGATTCCAAGTCCACAAGTGGATATGTATTCACTATTGGTGGAGGAGCGGTATCTTGGAAGTCATCCAAACAAACTTGTATTGCCCGCTCTACAATGGAGGCTGAGTTCATAGCCTTGGATAAAGCCGGTGAAGAAGCTGAATGACTCCGAAATTTCTTGGAAGATATTCCATTTTGGCCCAAACCGTTGGCACCAATATGCATACATTGTGATAGTCAAGCGGCAATTGGAAGGGCTGGGAGCATTATGTATAACGGTAAGTCTCGCCATATACGACGAAGACATAAAACCGTTAGACAATTACTCTCTAGAGGAATTATCACAATTGACTATGTAAAGTCAAGTGATCATGTGTCGGATCCACTTACAAAAGGCCTAACTAGAGAGGTAGTTGAGAAGTCATCAAGGGGAATGGGACTGTGGTCGAGAACAAGTCATAGTGGCGGTAACTCTACCTAGAAGACTGGAGATCCCAAGATTTAGGTTCAAGGAGATCAAACAAAGTCATTTATTACGGTTCAACATTGTCAACTAAACTTTTGGTCCATTCTCGTGATGAGACAATGTTCAGTACCAAGGATAAAGCATTAAGGCTTTTTAATGATTTCTAAATTTGATACGGGGTATATCAAATAGTGTATCTACGGGATGACACGTTTAGGAATCACCTATGTAAGTGTGAAGTGTTAGCCGCTTCAAGGAGAACATTGTAAGGCCAGTTCTCTACGCACTTATGAAACCAGGCGGTGTTCATGGCTGAAAAGAACACAACAATGAGAACCAAAGACGGTTAAGGGTTGGTTGTGTGACTTGTGGTTGTCTAGGTATACACTAAAGTTCGACGGTTCAAAGATATCAAATCTACCGATTGATCGAGTATATCCGACATAAGTTCACTACGGAAAGTTCAAAGGGAAACCCACTTATCCAGATGCAATTAATCCTTACTTGCGAATCACACAGTTTTTCATGCATACTTCCGTGATATAGCCATTCCCCATTCATGTGGGGGATTGTTGGGTTTTGGATGTGTTTAATTAATATATTAAATACTTAAAAGAGGGTGAATGGGAAATGGAGGGAAATAAAATTTTTGAGTGAAATTTTAAGTTCCCCCCCTTGGCAAATGGGCATTGTCCCATATTGGAAGAGGAAGAGGTTTTTTATGGGTATATAAGCAATTGCTCTTCTTCTAGCTCTTAAAGAGTTGAGAAGAAGGCAAGCCTCGCGCCGTCGTCGTCGTCGCTCGCTCGGCTCGGCTTCGGCTTCGGCTTCGGCTACGGCTACGGCTTCGGCTTCGGCTTCGGCTTCGGCTTCGGATTCGGATTCGGATTTGGATTTGGTCAAATGATCGATTGATTGATTAACTTTTTGGACCAAATTTATTTGTTAATAGTAAAATATTAACAGAAATGTTATTAAATATTTATTTTAATAACAAAATATTAATATTAAATATTAACATTAAATCCAATCCGTTTTTCTGTTTTGGTATCTTCAATTTTCCCTCTTTATTTTCCCTCTTTATTATTGAGTAAATGGCCATTTATGTAATGGCATTTATGCTGTGGGCGTTTTGCATAAACAGCCATTCTGAAGAGTTGCACCTCTTCAGATTTCAGCCTAACTTTGGCTATAAATACAACACTATTCTGCTCAGAATTTCACTACGATTTTCTGAGTTTCTTCTCCTTCTTCTGCATACTTTTAGCATCAAACAAAGCAAAAAGTAAGTGTGATTTGCTACCGAACTTTGTGTTCGCTGAAACACTGGGGTTTGAAGTACCACTACACCAGTGTGTAATTCGTTCTATCCTGGGAGGAAATAATCCATAACCTTGGGTACTAGGAGGGGATTAAATTCCTTAAGGAAACACTGTGAATTCAGTGGGCTCGAATTGGTTTTATGTCATTTCTGTTTATGTTCATTTCTGTTTATACTCATTTATATTTCCAGAATTATTTTACAAATACAGTCTACTAACATGCTCTTCCTCTAAAGGATTTCCTCTGCCTCTACCAAATAATCCTTGTGTCCTCTAAGCTTGAAAATCCATGGTTTGTGTATAGTGGCGAGGCAATCACAAATTACCTTGAATTTTTTATATACTCATCAACAATTTTTTTATCCCATTTCAATACTATGAATTTGTTGCTTCAACTGAAATTCTTTATCTTTGCTAGCTTGTAGGTAATTGTCTCCAAGACTCTGCCAAATTTACTTGGCTTAATTGCACTCAATAGTGACGAACATTGATTCTTCCGTCATAGTTCTAATGAGCCAACATCTAACCAAGTCATCCCTTTCTTCCCATTCTAGGAAATTTGGCTTCGGGTTTTGTTCCTCCTTTCCGTTCATTACAACTGGTGATGGTGGGTCTTTCACTACAACATCGCCAACTTTCAGGGTCTGCATCAATAGAGTTATTTGGCTTTCCCAAACTAGGTAGTTTGAGAGTTTTCATTTTATGGGACATATGGCTATGGGTAAGGCGGCGCACAGGCTACCCTTCCCAGACCTTACTTGTGGAATTATACTGTATTTGTTGTTGTTGTAGTTATTGTTGGAACATATGACTATGAGTTGATAAAGAGAGGCTACAAAGAGAGAGAGAGAGGAGATGGAGGTCTAATGAGCTATGTAATAGTCATGACCCAAGTTAACTTAACTGTAGTTAGGACTTCTTGTAACTGTAGTTAGTTATTAGTAGTTACCTGTAATTAGTAGTTAATGGTTAGTTAACTACAGTTAGTGATTAGGCGGTTATATTAGGTACTACTATAGCTTGTACAGTACAATTCATTCTTGCAGAGCTATGAGAAAAGCTTCTTTCTCTCTTCTCTATTTTTTCTCTCTGTAAGAGAGATTATCATTCTCAGATCCACAAAATTTACAAGGTCAATGTACTAGGCATTGAAGCGTAGATTAGGGTTCAGGATATAGATTTATTTTTATTAGAACCAAAGTTCCGATACCATGAAGAAATTACACAAACTGAAATGTTAAACAATGTATTGTGTTTTATTGCTTGTGTTCTTCACGTTCTACACCAACAACTTTCCTCTCCTTTTATACACATAGATGATCTACATAATTCAATTACTAATTCTATCCAACTCCACAATCTCGTTTCTAGACTCCTTGACTTACATGCAATTAGATTCCTCTCTTAACTCGCTTTCAGAAAGTAGGGTATGTGGCACAACTTAACAAGAAGATGAGAAACGGTTATTGTAACAAGTTCATTGTCGAGATATTGGATAAGGCGGTTGATCAACTTTGGACTGATTACAAAGCTAAGTTCGATCTTATTCGAAACCACTTCCTAAAGATTGTTAATCCAAAGTAGAAATAGATAAAGAAGCTATCTATTGTTCTAGGAGCTTAGGCATCAGTATAATATTTAAAAGAATCAATTGTCTATGCATATACAGAAATATGTTAAAAAGAT